TAGTCGCGGTGCGTGCAAGCTGGCCCGGACACCCACGTTAATCTAAAAAAAAAGAAAATCGCATTGCCTCTGATTTAAAAAATTCTAATTTTTTTCCCTGGAATGGCACAAGAGTCATTGCATTGGTACAACAATGAATAGTGAATATACTGTGATTTCTACATGATTTTTTGCAACGGAACTTGGAGTTTTAGTCAATACGAACTACTGCTGTTGGTGTGAAAAACTATTGAGAAGTAACGAAAAAATCAACAAAAACATATAAGGTGACGCTGCCGATGCCAGGTTTTAGGCCGCAGATATAACGAAAGCTAGTGATTTTTAAATAAATGGACCCTTTACAGTTTTTGTTTTGTTAAAGTGGATTCTACAAGCGAAGCTCCAAGACCAGCAAACTTAACGTCGAAGGTTGTCAGAGTCTGTTTACCTATATGCTGTACATGGGTAAAAAATATCTGCTCAGATATACACATTTCAAAGTGCAGTTTTTTAAAGAATTTTTATTTAAAAATATATTAAAATAATATATTTTTTATTTTAAAAAATGTATTTTAATATATAGTTTTAAAATGCAAAAGTAAATATTAAAATTAATGAGTTTTAGTTGGCTTGGGTTTTAGGTTAGAATTAAAAGAAAATGGGGATTATCACATTGAATCACTGTAATGTTATGCAAACCTCCAAAATGTTTTCCAATAACTGGATTAGTATCAATTTTGTCACCAAACAAATTTTTATATCAATTTTATCTTTAAATAATCTTAATCACTCGATTGGGGCCTTCTATCAGAGTTCCTTGACAAATTAAAAAAAAAAAAACCAATTTCTCTATAAAATGATATTTTTTTTCCTTCTTAGAAATGCGTAATTTGGATGGAGTCTATGATTAAATATAAATATCAAAATTTTATTGAAAATTTTTCAAACTTAAAGGACAAAATCGAAAGAAGAACCTGTGAGGACAAAATTAAAAAGACTGATGTGATTGGAAGCGATTTTTAAGATTTACCCAAAATTTTAATTGTAAAACCTCCTCGTGAAAAATAAAAGTTACGCTAGCTTTTCCACCGACCAGCATCTAAACATGACAAGCAATCACCCCTGCAAAAAGTCGATAAATCTCCCCAGAAGACAGAACCACTTCCATGCACGGCTCAAGAGAGAGAGACAAAAAAATGACCACTCCCATCTAATACACAGTATTTATACAGTATTTATAACCAGCTACATGATGCTCGTGAAAATTATAGAGGTATATCTGTGATCCTTTTGATGGAATTGGCCCATATTTTCTCTCGTTTTTATCCTTTTCTTCATTATACCTCTCTGAATTGCAGTGGAAAGGGTGAAGCCATGTGTTTTCTAACGTTGAAGAAGGCAAAGCTGAAGTGTCATGGGAGAAATGGAAAAAATGATCATGCAGATCGGAGCTGGTGACCCAAGTGAAGGGCCGTTTCTGGGTTTCAAGGAACCGTTACAAAAGATAAACAAAGACACAAAGAGCTTTTATGATGTGATTTCATGCATGACCTCTCCAATTTGTGGGCTTTCTTGTTGACCACAGCTCATATGGATTTTCACATGGTTTACGGGACCCATATGCCTTTGTGACTGCACCATGGCCAGGCCAGGACCCTCCACTATAGGAAAAAGTCTCCCGTTACGTTCCATCCCCTGCTTGTTTTAAGTTCCATCATAACAGAAATACAAAAATACCCACATGGTAAAAGAAGCAAAGGAGGATATCTCAGATTCCATTTGTTTTTTTTTTTTTACAAGTGTTTTTTTAAAATTTGATTTTTTATTTTCAATTATTTTTTAAATATTGTTATATTATTTTAATGCAATGACTGGATATTAATTAGGAGAAGTTCTACGCGTTATGGTCCTCAACTGTAGCTAGGCTGTCTCTTTTTAGCTTTTGTTTAAAAAGTTGTGCTCCGATCTCGACAAAAAGAAAAAAAATTTAATATTCTTCCGAGGGCTCTGAATTCTTTGTTACTATGAATTTCACAGCCACCGATATGCTTTTTTTTTCAAGTCATATTAAAAAATAAAAAAAATTAGAGATCTCTTAACAAAATAAAAGATGTCGATACTCGTTAACCTACACTGAATTAACACTTACTATGAGCAAGTAATTGTGATTGATGCGCCGAGGTGGCCGGGGGAGATGTTAGTATTAGACTAAGTAAGCTAAACATGTCCTCACTCACTGGCTTGAGCTTGGCTTCTTCATTTCCAGCTGGTCCCTTTTCCGTCACAGAAATCCAACACCGCTCAATCCCGTAGGACCCTCTCCACACACGGAAAATACATAGAGCAGTTGATGGCCTAGCACAACCTTGCATGCGAGGTCGAACAAGCATACGCCTATATAATATATATATATATATAACCATTCAAAGGGTGGAGGATCCCAACTCCGGCGATCATTTGCATTTTTCCTTTTCAACTAAACAAGCATACATGGATACAGGTTTGCTGTAATATCTGATAATTTTCTTAAGTGAAGCTTGTTTAAACTCAATCACTGTGTAGTTTCCCCTTCTAGTATGTGATGGAGTACGATTTCTCTAGCCCAGGGTAAAAAAAGAAGAAGAAGAAGAAGCTTAAGAAACATAAGTTTTAAACTATTTCTTTTTTATTCTTTTTACTTTTTTCACACTAAAAACTCATTGAATTTCTTTATTTGAAATCCTTTTTTGTCTGACTGTATGATTAATTTTAAAGGAGTGTCTCTACGTAGAAGTAAAAATAGTTTGAAAATTATATGCTAATTAATTCATTGGTTGATTGATTCCAACTCCTTATAAAAAGTTCATGGTTGCTTGACCTGTGCATGATATAATTAGGATCCGAGGATTTTTTTATTTTTTGTTAAATAATTCTAATTTTACTAGTTTCTCTTAATAGCTACACGTGTTAAACTCTTACGTGAAAGTCATCACATGAGTTTATTTGCGAGTCATGAAATGAGTTTACACGAAGAAAATCTTTTGCTTTCAAAATTAATTCCAGATTTCAAGCATTCAAGAGATATCCATTATCAGTATACACTTTCGAATTAAATTACCATACCCGTACAATAATAGCATGACATACACTTTCGAATTAAATTACCATACCCGTGCAATAGCATGATTTTAAAAACAAATTGAATAAAGGGCTCCATTTATATGAAAGCTAGCTAGCATGGAGACCTGGGAAGGTGCATTCACCATTTCTTTTGCCTTTGCCATTTAAAACTGAGGAGAAAATGGAGTGATTCATACTTAAAATTGCTTTACTAAACCTATCAACAGCAAAAAAAAGAAACTGCTTTAGTAAAGGAAGTTACCAGTACATAATCTTTAAATTAAGTCCGAGAACATTGAGATGTTGGCTCACATATCGATCACATCACGAGTACAAGATTCTGCAGCGTGCAATATCCGGGACCCAAATTAAGGGCCATGTTCGATGGCATCAAGCTCCTTTTCGCCTGCATCATAAGCCGATATTGATTCTTTGGGATTTGATGTTGCCTGGTTACTTCAATTGTACACTCACTTAGATTATTACATCCTGGTTAATATAGTGCCTCCTTGTGCAGTTTTCCCGTGGGAATGCAGTCGCCAGAAATGCCACCATTAAACGCTTTCATCGTATCTTTGTATGCTAGCACCTTGTATGTATTCTAACTCTATGCCTAGTTTTTATTCCTACAAAATCTTGCTCAAGTGTGAAAACAGTGACGGGGGTCACGATGATCAGGACCTCAATAGCAGCGGGCAGGAAGAGATCGGGTGGTGGAAAATAAACGAGCTGGGGAAATTATTCAACATAATTTCTAAGAATTTATCTTTATATATTTTTAATTAAAAAAGACTGGCATTACCAAACAAATATTAAAAAAGAACACGAATTTGGAAGGGAAATTTAATAGCATTCCTCCTAAATAATTGTGGGAGGGGGCGCATAGCCGCCTAGCAACCTAGGCATGATTACACTCCGTCGCGGTATTCCAGATGGGCAAACCTGCACTGTATAAAGCAGGCCCATTCCAACATGTTTTGTATATAATGGAGGAAGAAATTGGAGGCCTCAGGAAATATTAAGGCTTTTTAATCGGTTAGCCCATACTTGACTGCCCAACTTTTACCGAGATGGGCTTACAGATTAAAACCAGCGCCGAGACCTCAAAAATGGCTTCGCCTGGCCTGCGCTACATGGCAAAATTATGGATGTATGTACGCAATGATTCTCAGCATATTGGCATAAATGTCTCATCTGAAACTAGATAAAGTGGAAGAACTAAGATAGCTTATTTTTCCATTTTGAGACGCAAGAGAGTCTTCATTGTCACAACCATTGGCTCTCATACTTCAAGGACGTCAGCTAAGCTCGATGCTTCAACAGTGACCAGTTATTCACTCTCCAGATATCTCTTCTATAAGCATTTATCTGATGAGATGTTGGAAAATATCAATATAATGGACAAAGCTTAGCATTTCTGGTTTAACTCGTCTCCTACAAATCTCACTATCCAGTCAGCCAGAGGAAAGCAACACTTTAAAGGCACAGTTGCACTTTAAAGGCACCCAATGGACAAGTGGAGATTCGGGATGAGATTCTTGTCGAAGACTCTTGAAAGGAGCTTATGATTACTTGAAACACAAAGAAACCTCTCACGAGTGTACTGTGCTATCCAAAAACTTGTTATAAAACAATAGATCAAAAGACTTCAGAAGAGAGGCTTGGGGCTCAAGTGAAGTAAGAGAAGATATGGGCTAGGGATCAAGAGAGTTCATGGAGGTGTACAAAGCACTGCTGATTGGTGAGGTGGCTTCTTCTGCTACAAGTGAAAAAGGGTTTGAAAACGACATTGCACCGAGAGCAAAATGTGAAATGCATGATTGGGGATTTAAGAATGTGTCTTGGCTAGCAACAGTTTTGGCCTTAAGTAGTTCACCCTTATCCAAGCAAACCATACAGTTCTTCTGTGTCTTGTACCCTTATCCAAGCAAACCATACAGTTCTTGTGTCTTGTTTTTTTTTTCCCTCCCGTTCTCTCACCTGTAGATGAGCCACACCCACTTCTCCATATGGGGTGGCTGCAATCCCTCCTCTCTCCATTGAAGAAGCTGTGGTTTCGTCTACACTCAACTCCAAAGAATAGTATGTTCTTCACACCTATTACTGCATTTATCATACTGTCTTCTCTATGCTAGAGCTAGTTTCTGCATGGTTTTAGTTCGTCTAATTGTTCCATCCATGCATCTTTCTTCTGGCATTAATTTTATTTTTATTTCTTTTCTCATGAATTTAAAACCAGTCCCAAATTACTCAAGAAACTGACTCATCCAAAACCAATCTCCTCTTCTAGTTGTATAAGAATCCATTTGTAAATTTCTTTTTAACTTGCCACCAAAGACTCCCTCAAAATATTTCCTTGATTTGCCGCAATTCATTATGCTTCGATCATCCTTGATTATATAATTACTTAAGTGCAATTTGTTTGCATTTTTTTTCAGGAAGAGGAATTTACATTCTGTACGAGGATGTAAAATCCTGCCAGTATGAAGATGTGCATGTCCTATGGTCAATACTAGTGGAGTCAAATACCCCTTCTTTGCCATCAAAACAATGAAGGCCTACACAAGTACAGAGTTCCCAAAAAACTAAGAGATGTCCACTCACGTACATAAGATATTTATCTTGTTCTATAATCTCTTGAAAGGACTTTTGTTTTTGTAGTTTGCTTACTGAATTTCTTGTCATTTGAGCTATATATTAGAACACAGCTTTTTCCGCAAAATTCATGCTCGATCGTTTTCTTTTCTGTGTTTAAAAAAACAAAAACAAAATCTATATGCAGATGGTTAACACCGACTCTGAAAGAGTCTTAATTCGAAGAATATAAACAATCTTAGTCAGCGAAAGAAGTAAATTAAGAGGCATTGGGTGAAAGATGGCTCTATTTCTCTTCAATTTGCTTTGTTATTGTTGCTTTGTCAGTTTCAGCAGTTGGGTGTAGCATTTTGTTTCTTCTTTTCATATCAACCTGAAGTTGACTTTCGAAAACTATAGAATGGATGGGTTAACTTGCATGATTTTCAACTCTATAATAAATTCTTCCGCAATTATTTTTATTATTATTCCTAGCTGTCAATCCCACAGGTGTTCTGTTAATTCAATTTGTCTAGGCCTGCTTTATATTAATTTGAGTTAGATTTACATGTGGCACATGGAACCTTTTTTAAATTCAAATGTGCATTATATTTTAAATATAACATGTACATATATATGGCTTTGACTAAACAAAAAAGCCAAGGCTTTGACTAAACTAAAAAGCCAAGCCAGTACAGATTAACAATCTTAGTTTGTCTACCAAGATAATGTAGCTGAAAAGATCTGAATTGCTTTTCATATTAAAGAAAAATGGACATGAACCTTCGAGGGAAGAAAGGTCGGTTGTGTGGGTAAGTACCTAATAATTGAAAATTATTTTTTATTTTCATTATAGTTTCTTTAAACAAAAGATTGCAAATGAATCACACGAAAAAAAATTATTATACTCAGACAATAGAAAATAATTAATAATATTCTATTAGTTAATTTTACAACTTACTTTAAAGAAAAAAACAAACACACAAAAAAGAAAAGATAAAACTCATGACCTACAAAAAAATAATAAAAGTATCGTTAATTAAAAATTTTCTTTTCTAATTATATCATTCTTTTTCAAGTGGATTAGGATATCAATTTTTTTTTTCTTTAAATTGAATTCAAGAAGTAACTAATAGAACATCACTGGTTACTTATTGAATACTATAAAAAAAAATTTTAAATTGACAATGTCAGGAAATTCCTTGGCTCAGTTTTTAACATGCAACATGTTGGGTTTATTTTAGAAAATTAGATTAAGTTTTTTAAAAAAAAATCCATGTAAAAATACCATTTTAACAATATATTTTTTAGATAATTTTAAAAATACACCTTGGATAAAGAATTCATAAAAAAATAACATTTTTTTGAAACTCTAGCTCCAAGATTTGAGTTCATTAAATAAAAATAAAATTATCATCAAATTAACCACTTAAAATTTAGTTATCATTCTTTAAGATATCAGTGAAACTAGTAAATATTACACCATCATAGCCCCTTGGTTATCATCGGCACTAGGTCTATTTGGTGGTAAAGTTGCTATTGGCGAGCAACTCCATGTTCTTGCAAGAAGTGAAAGGATACAGGTTGACCGAATTTTGTGCTATCTTTCGTTCATTTCTACATTTCTTCAGGAGGGAAGCACAAGTTTCTGGTATCTAGAGCACAAGTTTCTGGTATCTAGAAAATATTACCAGCATCTAAAAACAATTCCAAACCATTCTGGGGGTCCTCGAAATTGAAACTTCTAGATTCTGGGCATTTATTCCTTGAAATGTTGTTTCATTTACGGGAAGATTTCGGCTTAGGACGTTGAAAGCACCATAATGTCGCATAGTTTGGTCAGCTATATTTCACAGTCCTCAACATATAGGCAACGTTGGTAGCTAATACCACCTAACAAAAAGTAAAGGAATAAAAAAAAACGAAATCTCTAAATTCTCATAGTAACTTGAAGCAAACACACAAGTTATTACCATTTTGACCAACGGGTTTGGAACAGATAGTACGGGCTCTTCTTGCTAAATAAAGTTTTCAAAGCATTTATGACATTCTTTATTGGAGAACAGTCCAATTGCATGTAACACCTCGTCAGCTGGAGGCAGGTAAAAAATTGCATCAGATACGCAAGGAGCCCAAAGAATCAGTTCGTTCGCTCTTGCTGTTGAAAAAGCCCTTTTGATCCGCTGAAAAGCAACAGCCCTGCATGAACTACCACTTTCAGTCAACAGACAGCACCAAAATATTAGAAGCGATGCTAAACAAAATGGAGCTCTTGCAAAAAGTATCGAACAAAGAAATTCAGTGATGAAGGGAAAGGATCAATCATGGACATTTGTAGCATTGAATACAGCAAGCTCGCATTACATAGCCTTCGGACCCAATAGGCTGAATCTACTGACCACCTATCACTAGACAGTAGAAGTGTACTCTCCTAGCCATGTCAAAACAGTAGGCAAATTTCTTGGCTAGACACCGAATTCTTTCCCAGACAAGATCAATTCAGGTTATACCACAAATTACTGCCAACAACATATCAAATATGCAGACATTTTGGCCATGTACAATAAGCAACATGATATACAGGGACAAATCGAAGAAGGGCCAGAGCATAATTATTCTTTAAAATAATAATTGCGGATTAAACACAAGTACAGTTTATAGGCATTTCTTATAAGCAAATTATAGCAGAGAGAAAGATTATTAGGGGGGAATAATAAAAAGGATCCGTTACCATAACACATAGCCCACTAATTATTCAAGATTCCTAATTAGTAAAGAAGATAAATGGTTATAGGGGCCAGATACAATTTAGCCCTCCAAGAAAACCAATAAACCTATTGCTAAATAAAAAGGAGGTATTTTTCCTGTCAATTAACAGAGGATACTCAATGTCAAGGGGGGGAAGTACAAGTAAGTTCCAAATCAAGGTGGGGGAGTACAAGTAAGTTCCAAATAAGGGGGGGGTGTGGGGAGTACAAGTAAGTTCCAAACTTCCAAGTAGAACGACATAAAGAATAAGTTTTCAAATGTTGAGGCAATGTTCTGGTCATGCAAGGAGATAGAAACAATTCATAGTTAAGCAATGACATTATGGAGTAAATTTCTGATATCATTTTCTTGCCATCCTTAATTACAAGGCTTGTGTTGTGCTGTTCTCACTGGGCAGGGATTCCAAGGATTATAAGGACGACGCAGACGGGTATTGTCCAACACTTGGCAGCCAATCTTTAAAGTATGAGTGGCAGCCTATCTCTGCATGGGAGAGGGCACCAAGGGGAGTTACAGTAATCTGAAATGAAATGAACGAGTTGTGTTAATCATGTGCTTCTCTACTCAGAAAGATTCAAACAATTACAGAAAAGATGCCCACATATCCTTGCTGAAGAATTTTGAAGTCCGCATCATCGATGTCACCTTCATCAAGTTTCCCTCCTAATACCTAAAAGAATTGAAAAGGCCATATTACATTTAAATTTGGAATCTAAGAACAATAAACTTTTCTGAGGAAAACAAATGATTATTAACAGCAATATCCTTCCATCTTCTACTCATTTACAAAGCACAATAATTTTCCAGCTTATGCATAACCAGCAGCCTACCATCATGTTTATTTCCATCTCCTCTTGAGCGGCAATAGATCATAGCTTACTCAAAGTGTTTAGATCAAATAAAATTATAAGAATATCGATGTAGAAACACAAATAAAAGATTTTTAGTAAAGAGGCGGAGAGACAATAAGGAAAAAGACTTACTTCTCTCTTGAACAAAAGATGATCTTGTGATAAATTTAATGCACCAGTCTCTATTGGTGCAGTAGAATCCGTATCCATTGTCATTGTTGATAACATTTTCCCTCCTTGCATGTCAGAAGTAACTTGGCTCCACCCCATTTTATATATGCTTTTACCCTGCTTGGTCAGCTTATACCCCTTTTGGAGGCACAAGAAACAATTAAAAATAGCACATCTAAATTTTCATTTAAAGCATGGAAGAATTGGTAAATCAATGATAAAACTAGAAAACAAGCAAGTCCTAAACTTCGATTAACGAACACAATAAAGAACAAAATGAAAATGAGTTATAAAATCAGTGCCTCCCTTGTCCTCCTTAGTCATGCTACAGTAATTCATTCACAGAAATAGAAGGAATCACGTGCAAATCAGATTTTTGATATTATCATGATAACCACATACAGGGGACCATACAGCAAACAACACCTTAGGATCTTTATGCGGCATAGCATTAACCTTAAACCTGTCTGGGCTAAAAATTCATCATCTAACATGAGATTAAAAGAAGAAAAGATTAAGAGAAAAAAAACTCATTACTTCAGCAAATAATGAAGGGAAAAAAAGTTAACCTGACATAAGAGATATGATCTTCGATATCTGCTAATATCAATCAGAAAAAATTCATGCAGCATTTGTGCATATTTCAGATGAAAGACTAAAGCGATATACTTTCACTAAACACAAGTGCGCGTGCGCAATTAGGTCAGCTGTAACATTGAAGGAATGTCAATAAATGAAAGGCCAAATCCAGACAAAAATCAGGACGAAATCCTTTAAAATGACATGATCCCTTCTCTGGAAAACACACCAAAGTAGCTCAATCTAGATGTATCCAAAATAAACAAAAATGCCAAAATGTTTCATAATTTCATATGCAACTGTGATATGCTGAGAAACTGGTCTCAGATTTATCAATTTACCTTATTATTAGCAACATCTGTTGGAAGATCAATATTCAAAAAACACCTTAAAGGATAAGTTTTATTCTTGATCTCAACGAGTACTGCAGTTATTATTGGTATGCAAGCCTCAGCAGAAAGAGTGAAGTTCTCAACTTTGCTCTGACCTCCAAACCTGTACAACCAAACAAGCAGTTATATGGGAGAAACAAATTGCTATTCACATGATACTTGGTAAGATACCAAGCAAAATTAACCATATCACTGATCTAGCTATGTAGCCTGAAAAAGATGTTTGTATACCAATTATATGATACAGAGATTGCAGGTATATCATTAAAGAAGGCCTCTCGAGCACCAGCGACTGTTCCTGAGTAAACACTGCAACTCCAAAGAAAAACTCTTATTATAAATGGGCAGTTAAGTAGACCAACAATATATGAATGGCAAGTTATCAAAAGATGTAGATTCTACAATTATTTAAAAAAGAAAAGAACAAAAATATATAATTAATACTAACATGTGATAACCACAGTTGCTCCCCATGTTTATGCCGCTAATTACCTGTTTACAAAATCCAATTTACATAATCAAACAGTTCTATAGCTAACATCAAAGAGTGATCACATTATTGATTTGTCATTGCGATGCAAATCCAAATGCATTATTTTTCATGACCCAAAAAAAAGAGAAGATTATCAACATTTTTATAGCTACAGTTAAATAGAATTAAGAGAGTTACCAGGTCAGGAATTAAAGGAAAGAGTGATTTGGAGATTCCTAAAGAAGTACAATCAGCTGGAGTTCCTGCACAATAACATAAATAAAAAAAACGCGAAATTTTTTAATTTCTTTAAGTTCTTGCAGGTAATCTAAAAACAAATATTGTTGTTACAAAAACTAAAAGTGAATTAAAAATGGAAATGAAAATGTTTTCTATGAATGGCAAGAAAGAAGCAAGCAAACCAGCAATTGCATAGGCAGTAGCTCCTTCAATTTCCACTCGTCGAGCAGCAATTGGATCACGCCATGTAATGCTATGGCTCGTAGCTGATTTCTCCCTTCAAATTAATCCAATAAGAAAATTAATTCTAAATTCACGATTAACTCATGCAAAAAACGATTTCTTTCACCAAATAATAAAATAACTTCCCACACTTTACAATTCAAGAAGGAGCTTATATAATTTCGGAGATAGAGAGAACGCACGAGTCCGGAGCGCAAACAAGGACCTGGAATCGCCGGGTAGAGACCAAGACCTGAACCAGCGCTCGCAGTCCTGGCGCGTCGATACCGTCATCGTTGGTCACCATGATCGTCGGCTGGTTTTCCATTTTTGTCGAAATGATGGCGAAAGTGAGAAGAGAAATGAGTTCTTCGTCTATAGTGGTGTAACTGTTGATGAGAAAATAACTGAATTTAAGCAAGCCGATGTTTTTCGATGGCTGGTTGCGTTTGATAACGGAATATTCTTTCAAATTGGGAAAAAAGAAGAAAGAATAAGAAGAATAACTCAAGCAGAGGTGTTTGTTTTATGCTGTTGTTTTCTTTTTGTTAAAATTCTTGGAAATATTGCTTTCTCGTTCCTCCATGGACGGCTGCCTAACAATTGGTACTCTATGCCGACTTGGCTTACGTTGGTCCATCCATCTCGACTGACATTAATTTCTGCCAGCGTTGATCTGCAAAGCCATTAAATAGGTTCGGCGGATAGCTTTGAATGATTCTTTTTATTAACAAAAAAAATTAAAAAAAAAATGTTGCGAGAGTAATATAACAGGTGTATGATTCACTTCGAAATCACTTCTTGCTCTTGAAAAAAAGGTTTAACTAGCCTTGCAGGTGAATCACGTTGATCTATTTGTCTTTGTATAGCATTTTGGTTTTTCTAATAATTTTTTTATACAGTAGAATTACTTGAATATTTTTAAAAATTAAAAAAAAAATTAGCATGCCTCTTTTAAAGAACATTGTAATGATTTAATTTTTCTTGAAATCAAACTTCAATTCAGGGGTCTTTTCATAATTTTATAAATTTCTTTTCGTATTAATTATTTGATCCTATGAATAATGTGGTAATTTAATAAAACAAAAAACAAAAAATAAAAATTATTTACGTATGCAACGCCCGCCACTTGCTAGTCAATTCGTCTCCTTCAAGCCATGCAGGTGGCTCTCTGGTGCGTCAAATTATTCTTCCAGCATGTAGTTTTATTCGTCTTGACATCCTTGTTAAGTGTTGCTAAAAATTATAAGTGTTGTATATTAGAAGAGCTACTCATGATGTTGTCCATTACTTAATTATAAATTTTAAAAATTATGATTCTGATATTTGATAAAGTTTAGACAAATAACATTTTACTTCATGATAAGTTTATAATAATTCGGCCAACATACTAGATAATATCTGCTTTGAGTTTTATTATAATAATTCAGCAAACATACTAGATAATATTTGCTTTAAGTTTTATTATTCTCGGAAATTTATTTTTAATGATTATACATTATTCAAAAAAAATTGACAAATTAATAATTAACACTAGTAATAAGTTCAATTATCAAATCTTCACCTGTTAATATAAAATATTTTAATTTATTTTTAAAAAAAGTTTGACAATCTTATTAGTGCAATCTAATAGCTAATAAGGCTAATTTTAATATCAAATATATGACCCAATTTGTCAGATATTATTATTTTTAACTTTATTATCATCACAAATTTGTTTTTAGTAATCACACATCCTAAAAATTTATTTAACAAGTTAATAATATATATTGTTAATAAAACTAGCTATTAAATTATCACTAGTTGGAATGAGAAATTACAAGGTCAATTTTTTATAATAAAAATATATATTTATTTACAAAGACTATTATTATATTTAAAATAACAAATTAAATAGCCTTCTCTTTTCAAAAATAAAATAAAACCAGAAACCCTGCCCCCATTATTTTCCATCTTCTTTCCCCCCATTATATTTTTATGATAGTAGATGGGCTTCGCCGACATTGAAACTTGAATAATTTTAGAACTTCAAGGTCTCTAACAATAACATGGTTCACCATTGTGACTCTTTATATGATTCCGGCTTCCGACACCCACTCCATGATCGTAATCTTGCACCTTGTAGCACTAAGCTTGAAATTCTCAAACCGCATCATGTTCCTCTTCAACCAGATTGTCCATAAAACAGTAGTGATAAAGCCAGCATCCCAGAGATCTTTTAGCAGATAAGAAAGTCGCCTGAATTTCATCAACTTGCAGTCGAGTGGCTTAAAAGTTCCTCCATGGTTTCAGTCCCACCCAGAAGAGGGACTCTCATGCAGTAAGACGATTCCCTCATTTATCCCTCAATTTTGTCAGCATCCTCAGACTCCGTTCCAAGTTTTTTGAAGACTGATTCTAAGAGGGACTCTCATGCAGTAAGACAATTCCCTCATTTATCCCTCAATTTTGTCAACATCCTCAGACTCAGTTCCAAGTTTTTTGAAGACGGATTCTAAGTTTCTCCCATGTTAGATAACTTTCCCCGCTGCCCTTTTTTCAGCCGATCCAAACTTCCTTCTCTTCTGGTTAGTCCTATAAATAGGTAATCGGATCGGCAACATGCTTTATGCGGGTTCAATACCAACGAAAGAGGGATGATTTTTTACGGAGACGTTACAGGAGTTTAGCATGAAGAGAGAGAAAGAATTCTGTTGTAATGGAGATAACTATTAGACCTGAACTAGCTGGCCTTGTAACATAAGATAATTATTAAAACATATTTTTGAAATTTTAATATTTAACATGAAAAAATTAAAATATAATTTATGTAGATATATAAGTTATATATTATAAATAATAAAATTTAACATATTTTTTTAAAATAAAAGATAATATTTTTTAAAGTTAAAATATTTAAACAAATTTTTTTATTATATTTTAAAAAATAAAAATTTTTACTTGTGAATATAAATTTTTATTCTAGTGGGTTTTTAATTTTACATTAAAAAATAAAATTTTCTTTTAATATCTATAAAATTTAATTTGGATTAGTAATTAATAAGGAAAAGGTAATAAATTCACGCACATGAAGTTACAGCCAATAGAAAAAATCCTCTAATTGCTCCCATAAACATACACTTGAGGGAACACGTGTGCCTTTTATCTATATTAATAATTTGCCCCTCCATTAAACCACTATTTTTTATTGATGTCCCCAGCTAAAACCATTTGCTTATCTAAAAACACCTGTAGGTTTAACTTTTCAATTTGTTAAAGAAAAAGTTGGCGTGGAAGAAAAAAAGGAACAGTCAGTATGTCCACATTCCCGGGTGCATCTTAAAAAGAGAGAGAGGGAGAGGGGTGTTTTTTATGGTTATTGGTTATTTTTTAATGTATTTTTTATTTATAAATATATAAAAATAATAAATTTTTATTTTTAAAAAAATTAATTTTGATATTATTATATCAAAATGATCTAAAAATATCAAATCATATTAATTTAAAACAAATAAAAAATATATTTAAAAAAAAAAAAACAAAGAGAATTATTACTTCAGAACAAAAATTAAATGAAAAAAAAAGAAAGAATGCGTCTCTTTATGATATTTTCAGGTCACCAAAATTCTAGATTGATTTTAAATATTTGTTAAAAAATTTATTGCAAGCCCTAGTTTATTTGAATTCCAGATCAATTTATTTAACTGGATTGCAATGATTATCTTTCATGTTTTAAATTTTTAATATATATGAGGTACTATTGTTTTTTTATTGGTTTTCAAAATCTGATTTAACTAAGATTACGAAATTTAAAATTTTAAAACTTGGTTGTTAAATGAAAAATTAATCATAGTTAATTTTTTTTTACCATATTTAAATCACCTGTTTTATTATTAATAAAAAAAACATATTAGTTCACTTTATATCAGAACTAGACGGACATTTATGTCAAGAATACCTGGTTTTGCCTCCCCATACACTTGCTTCCATACGTGAGTTATTTTGAGCGGGACATTATAGCGAAGGAGGGATTCTAATGTCCCAAGCGATGATAGATTTTTGAAAAAAATTATTTTTATTTTTTGAGTACATCAAATTTTAGGGACGGTAATAGTGCAGGTTTATGATAGGTTATACCTTCTTCATCCTCGACCCATGCTAATTAGGTTTGGAGTGGGAGAGATCGTTCTTCTCCGTCCGGTTTGGATTCCTAATTAGTAAAAAATATAATTTTCTATATTCACAATTAATGTTCAATAGTTAAAGCTCATTTAAAAATAAATATTAAGTTTATAAATATTAAATTTTATCATGACTCTGATACATAGTTAAATATAAATAATCATAATATAAATCCAAGAACAAATTTAATTTAACTTGTTCAATTATTCAAGAAATATATATGATGGAACACACATACATTTTCTCTTTCTCATACACACCTCTCCCTTGTTTTTATTTATTTAAAGTATGTTTATTTTTATTTATTTAAAGTATGTTTGGTATTGTGGTAGTTATTATGATTATAATTTGAAAAAAAATATTTTATAAAAGGTATTTTTGATTGTAATTAATTTGATATTTATATATGTTTGGTTAAAATTGTAGTTGAAATTAAGGTTAAACAAAAAATAATTTAATATGTTTAGTTAATAATATTTTTTAAATTGAGATTATAAAATAAGTGAAAAATATATATATTAATATTGATTTTAAATTTAAATATTGTAGAATTAATTACTATTATTAAATTATGAAATAAATAATACTTTATATAAAATATTTTTTATTATTCCATTAAACCATCTATAATTTTATTACATACAAAATTCATCTGATAATAACTACAGTTTTTATAATTTTTTAAATGTGTAATAAAATCAAATAAAATATTATCAAGTATAAAAATAATATTATGCTGTTAAGTAAATTTAATTAACTCTATACTAGTTTTTCAAATAAAAAATATTATTTACATTACCATACAAGTAAATTTAATAAAACACTAATAAAAAATTATTCATGTTAATAGTGCAAATCACTTCCAAATAGTACAAGTAAATTGTACTATTCATTAAAATATTATTTTAAAAAAAGTAATTTAGAGTTATTTCAATAAAATTGTATTTCAAACATGAATTATAATGAATCTCACTAAAAATAAATTATATTTTTTATATAATTAAATATTTATTTTATTATAATTGCTTCAAACACAACATCAACCACGCTATTGAAACATACTCTTATCCAGATGGAAACGCTCCACATACCCGGCTTCGATTCCTCGAAAGAAAACACATTTCAAATAACAAGAACTATTTGAATTCGCAAAACTCGGTCCATCTACACTAGATAATTGTACGCGTGTTGTTGCATGTAAATTCTAAAATATATAAATAATAAATAAATCCCTGGTTTTAATGAAGAAAACAGGAGGACAGGACGATTATTTATAGTCCGTACTTCGTACCACGCGCATCAACATTAATTTTAAATTTATCCGCTCATCGGGTTTTCTGAGGATAATATTCGTGGACTGTGATTCACCTTCAAGACGATTCTGACAAGATGTCACCAGACACCCATGTCCATTGCTCTTGACAGGATGCACAGCTATTTTTTTTTATTTTTTGTCGGTGCATGGGATAAAAACAAGAGAAGGCT